TACTACTACTACTACTACTACTACTACTACTACCACTACTACTACTACTACTACTACTACTACTACTACTACTACTACTACTACTGCTAAAACTGAGACTGCTACGACTACTTCTACTGGTACGACTACTGCGACTACTACTGCTACTACTTCTACTGCTGCTACTACTACTACTACTACTACTCCTACTACTACTACTACTACTACTACTACTACTACTACTACTGGATTGGAAAGAAATCACCGCCGGCCTCGCCGAAAATATGCACTCGTCTGAGCGATGCCAAGTCGAACACACACACACACACACACACACACACATCCATGCCGTCCCTATATGACCCCTCATCCCGCATGGACCGAATACACGCCCCTGTAAGTTTGCACTCAGACTTACGGTTAGCGAACTCCGTGGCACCCACGACGTCGATTCGGCCGCCCGCCCTCACGGTCCACACCGGGCGAGCGCTTGCCAGGCTCTCGATCAGGTCCTCCAATGTGCTGTTCAGATCGTCGCTGGTCGACTGGCCCTCCCCAACAGCGACTGGGTGACTTAGGTCAGCGATCGATCGGTGGCCCGACCCTATCGGCAGACCCGAAGCAACCAAAATCGGACTGCTAGGAGGGGAGCTCGCAAATGAAGATCACTACTATGGAAAGAGATGTCCCGCTTGTTCTGCCAATCCGAGAGCCCGCCGCCACCGCTTCCGCCTTCGAGCGCGAGGAGAACGCCAATCAGCACAGACCACCAGGGGGCCTCATCTCCCTTGACGCGCTGCCTCGAGACCACACTCGCTTCTGCGAGAGGCCCGGCTCGATGCGCCTGCGACCTCCGAGGGGCTGCGCAGACCTGCGTGGCTCCCTGAGGGCGGCTTCCGGGTCGGCCCCCGGGGACGGCGGAGCCGCCAGACTGCCGAGACCTCGGCGGGCGGAGGCGTGCGCGAGGCTCGGCGGTGGCTCCCGCCCGTCTGCACCCGCCCCCCGATGGGGCAGCGTCGGTCGGCGGCGCGCCCAGGCGGGAAACGAGGAGCGGCCCCCGAGAAGGCGGCGGGGCTCCTCGGAGGCCCTCTGGCCCTCTGAGAAGCCGCAGGCGTCTGCGGAGAGGGCCCACGGAGCCTCTCGGGAGGCCTCGGAGGCCCTCCGAGCCCTCTGAGAATGCCTCGGGGCCCATCGTCGAGTGGGTGGCCAGAGCCTGGAGACGACGGACATGGATGGGCACGCGAGGCCTCCTGGTTGCAGCCTGACGCCCGTGGGTCCCCCAACTGCATGGGCATGCGAGGCCGTTGGGCCCCGTGAGGGCCTGCAGGCGCATCCATCTCCGCGGTGATGCAACTAGGCTGGAACACCTGGTCCCCATCCACTGTGGCTTGTGGGGACGAGGCGCAAAATTGAATGAAGATTGACTTGCACTATCTGCACTCTCTTGTCCGTCTTGCCACGCATGCTGATCATCAAATGGCTGTATCACGAGATGGGGATAGCAACCGCGTGCGCAGCATCACTTGCTTCTGGGTCCCAATCGAGTTTTGCACTTGAGGCCGCTCCCAGCAAAGCGGACTGCCGAGCGTGGCACGTGTGCATGCATGCACACCACTTGCTGGAGGCGCGCGGCCACAACAACATGTATGTTCAGAGCCGGTCCTGCTGCGACGGACCAGCGTCCGGCGTGCGCGAGCGCGGATGGCACGGACTTGCACCGCGCGCGCGCACGCAGCGCAAGGGCTGCGCAGCGCCGGCGCGCAGGAGGCGGGCGCGCGCAGGCGGCGGGCGCGCGCAGGCGAGAGGTGCGAGGCCCCCTCCCTGGGTCGGAGGCACGGGCCAGAGGTGCACGCTGGAGGACCGCGTGGAGCTGCCGGCTGCTCTGCCAGCGTGTCGCACGAGGTGTGCCGGGACTGGGAGGACGAGCATCCAGGCATCCTCACGGGAGAGGCTAGGGGAACAAAAAGTGACAGAAACATAAAAACTCGGAGGTCCGCGCGGATTTCTCGGATCGGCGCTGGGGCCCCCCGGCGGCGCCTCCGGCGCCACCCCTGGGTGTCCAGCGCCGATCCGAGAAATCCGCGCGGACCTCCGAGTTTTTATGTTTATGTCATTTTTCGTTCCCCTAGAGGCAGTCACGAACGGGTCGATCGCGAACGGAGAGACCGAGCCCCTCGGGCGTGCAGGGTGGAGCTGTGCAGCCCTGGACCCCCCCCGAGTGATCTATGTGTGGCGGTGGCTGCTTTCGGGGTCCCCTGCCCCTTCCCGAGATCGGCAGGGGACACTTCCGGCAGAGCTCCGTGCGAGAACCCAGCCCTCGAGGGGCGCGGTGCCGCCCCTCAAGAGGTTCACTGTGGCCACAAGGCTGTCGTGGACGGGTCCAGGAGAGGCGAGGAGTGGTCCTCCATGCCCGCGCGAGCAAATGTCGATTTGTGGAGAGAGTTTGGACTGTTGAACAAAGAACTCGGTGTATTAGGGCCTGAGGCCATCCAGATCCTCCAAATCGAAGCGCACGCCACTCGGGCTCAGAGGCTTTGGATAGGCGAGCGGCTGTTGAGAGGCTATAGACACGCTGGTGAGCATGCCAAGGGATGGGCTCATCTGTGCGAGCACCCTTTTGGCACCAGCAGGCTTATAAGCATAAGTACAACATGGTATGTGACGCCCTCGAGTTTGCTGTAAGATTAGCCGCCAGTTCGTCTAACGTCGTCGATACGATCACTGATGTGGAACCAAAGTGGCCTCAAGAGTCGTTCCCCGAGTACGGCCGCCGACTCGATCCCTACTCCTCCTCTGATGCCTCCCCCTCCTCATCTGGCACTGTGCGAGCTGACGGGCCCAGAATCTGCTGACTTCGACGAGGCCCGCCAGGACCGCATTCGGAAGGCACGAATCCTGGGACACCATCTTGTGTTTCGTTCCATATGTGTAGGCTGCAGGCGGTGTGCTTCCTACGCGACGTGTAAGTTGTCAAACCTGGTCAAGGCTCCTTACAAGGGGTCCCAAGCTAGGACGGCCAGGGGTACTCTCGCAGTTGTGGGAGGGCCACCGCCCGACAGCCGGGGCTCCCATGTGAGCATTGTCTCACAGCGAGCAAGCATGCTTTCGTAGTGTCACCCATCCACAGGAGTCATGGACAAAATAATCCCAGCATCAATGCCTTCATCTTCCTCCTCCTCCTCCACCACCTCGTTCCTCCATCTCTCCCCCTGAGCCCTCCTCTCTCCACCCTCCATGTTCTGTCATCCGTTCTCTCCATTCCTGCTCACTCCTCTGTCCTTCCTCAGTCCTCCTCCCTCTGTTCCTCTGTCCCCCTCCCTCTCTTCCTCCCTCTCGTCCTCTGTCCCTTTTCTTCTACAAATACGAAATGCAGTACGCGCAGACGTGTGCCTTGCTCTGCATCTCCCGATCGCCCCCTTTCTCAGTAGTCAGACGCTCGAATACTCGAAGACCCCGTTCAACAGCGAGTGTTTTCGGGGGCGCGCAAACATGGATTAGCGATCCATGGATTTGGCGCGCGGTCGCCAAATCCATGGATCGGGGGAGGTGCCCTCCCCACAATGCGGCCGGTGCCGCCTCGCTCGGCGGCGGAAATCGACTACTTCCCACGGAAACGGGACCCGTCGCTAGCCCACGCCCCCTCAATCCATGTTTGCGATCGCCGGATGTTTCTGCCACGAGCACAGATGACAATCTCGCTGGCATTAAGTCGGGCGTGTCCCCCTACAGGGGGATTTTCGACGAAAAATAGAAGATGCCCCAAAAAATAATCCAAAAATAGTCCCAAAGTAGCCTGGGGACGATTTTTGGAATATTGTCTGACCTTTTTGGGGCATCTTGTGGTATGTTTGATCTTTCGTCGAAAATCCCCCCTGTAGGGGGACAGGCCCGACTTGACGCTAGCAGCGTGCTGTTCCTGTGCCCCCTGGCCGCGCAGCAGGCGTCGGCGCACAGAAGCCGGGCAGGCAGAGGGCCCGAGAGCGGAGCACTGACGGCGGCACGCTCGGGCGGGCTCGGCAGCCCCTGCCCCTGCCTCCCCCCCCTCCCCCCCTGCCTGGCCCTCCCCTCCCTCCCCTCCCTCCCCTGCCTCCCCTCCCCCCTTCCTCCCCCCTGCCCCCCCCCTCCCCTGCCCACCTCCTCTCCCTCCGCCCCTCGTCTCCTCACGTCCGTTCCCCCGAGCTGCTCCCTCCGCCCTGGACCCCTCACTCCAGCCTGCCTCCTCCTCCTCCTCCTCTCCTCCTCCTCCTCGTCCGCCTCCTCCTCCTCCTCCTCCTCCTCCTCCTCCTCCTCTTCGTCCGCCTCCTCCTCGTCCTCCTCCATCTCCTCCTCGTCCCCGCCCTCCCTCGCCCCTCCTTCCCAAAAAACTAATTCTGCACTGCAACTGTTCTGCTGAAAGCCGAACTGTTTTTGGACTTGATCTCGAGATCTAGGAGCACCTACAGAGCTCTTAGGCATACCGTTGGATCTGGCAGCATCGAAAGCGTTAGTCTGCAACCTCGAGGGCGCTGATATCCTCCTCGATCACTCTTCAAACTGCAGCCTCGTTTGCCCTCCCCGTCATCCCTCCCTCCTCCTCGACCTCTTCATCCTCGTGCCTGCTGGCTCGAAGCAAACGGGAAGGAAACGGGTGCTGGAGCCTGGGGCCTTCCTCCGGGACCAGCTCTTCGTCCTGACTCGTCTTCTCATGGTCCCGGGACCATCGAGGCCCAAGGTAACCCGAAACGGCGAAAAAGCGGACCCGTTTCCCCCGAGGCCCGTTTCCTCGATTAGAAAGACGATAAATGTGAGCAGAAACTTTCGGAAGTCCAGGCGGCTTTGTTGGATCCGCGCTGGGGCCCCCTCCCTGGCGCGAGGAGCGCGCCAGTTGTGGCGCTGGAGGCGCCGCCAGGGGGCCCGAGTGCCGATCCGAGAGATCCGCGCGGAGCGCCAACAGTTTATGTTTATGTAGTTGTTTCTTCTTCGAAGCCCGTTTCCCTCAGGACCCGTTTCCTTGATGCCGAGTTCCCGTCCCTCCATCGAGCCTCTGCCAGCTCTGCCGGGCTCAGCTCCGGAGGCGGCGGAGACGGCCCACTGCGCCCAGACAGGTACTTCCCGAGGGCCTGGAGCTCCTCGGGAGGAAGGACCCGCGGTCCCACCGAGCAACGACTCAGTCCAGCCACTCGCCGCCCAGTGCTCTCGCCGTTGGCTGCATCTCCCCCCCCCACGCCTCTTCCTCCTCAGCCTCCATCTCCTCCTCCTCTTCCTCCGCCTCCTCATTCATCAGCAGCAGCATCAAAAATCGTCTTCGACGCCGTCGCCGTCGTCATCGTTAGCATGAGTATCATCATCATCATCATCATCATCATCATCATCATCATCATCATCATCATCATCATCATCACAATCATCATCATCATCATCATCATCATCATCATCATCATCATCATCATCATCATCACCATCACCATCACCATCACCATCATCATCATCATCATCATCATCATCACCCTGTCCATCACTACCATCAGCATGATCATCACCAACAACAACCTAGTCGTCGTCGTTGCCATCATCGATCAGCATCGTAGTCATCATCGCCGTCATCATGATCACCATCATCCTCAGCATCGTCGTCTTCAGCATCATCAGCATCATCATCATTACCATCATCGTCGATCTAGTCGTCGACGCCATCCCCATCAGCAGAAGCAGCCGCTTCTTCTCCTTCATCATCATCACTCTCAGTATCATCATCATCACCACCATCATTATCATCGTCGTCGTCGTTACCACCGTCGCCATCGAAATCGCCAGCGCCATCGTCGTCAGTATCACCATGAACCAGCTATTCCATCATCGTTAAAATAATCGGCTTCGTCATCGCGAGCATCATAGTCATGAGCGTCGGCATCACAATCGTCAACAATAAAATCATTGTGCTCGCCATCGTCATCATCATAGTCGTCATCATCATAGTCGCCAACATCATCGTCGTCATCGTCATAATCACCGTGATAAACATCCTCTGAATCACGATCATCATTAGCATCCTGAACATGATCATCGTCGCCAGCATCATTATAGGCATCGTCTCCGGCATCATAAACGTCATCAGCAAAACTCGATCATCATGAGTATAATCGGCAACGTGTTCTTCGTCAGCAACAGCACATCATCATGATCAAGCTCATCATCACCAGCACCATCACCATCATCATCATCATCAGCATGATCAGAGGCAGTAACAGTACATCATCGTCATCATCATTATCACCATCGTCGTCAACGCCGTCATCACCATCAGCATCATCATCGTCATTATTACTAATTCTATAACCATCAACATAGCCACCACCACCATCATCGTCATCACCACCTCCATTATCATCATGATCATCATGATCATCATCATCATCATCATCATCATCATCATCATCATCATCATCATCATCATCATCATCATCATCATCATCATCATCATTATCATCAGCATCATCACCATCGCCATCATCACGATCATCATCAACATCGGCGGCGTCGTCGTCGTTGTCATCGTCGTCGTCGTCGTCGTCAGTGGAAAAATCGTCGTCATCGCCATCGTCATCACCACCTCCATCCCGCGACCCATGTAGCGGTCCGAGGCGAACTGAGGAGGATAACCCTTTCACAGGGACAGGGAAGGGCGGAGCGGGAAGAGTACACACACACACTCTTTTGGCGTCGCGACCACGCGCGCGGCGGCGCGGCGTAGGTCAAGCCATGTGGGCGCGCGCGGGCCAGGCCAGCTCACACACACACACACACACACACACACACACACGCACACACACACACACACACACACACGCCCGCACACACACACACACACACACACACACACACACACACACACACACACACACACACACACACACACACACACACGCACCAACTTTTTGGCGTCGCGGCCCTGCGTGCGGCCACAGGGCGTAGGTCGGAAAACAGAGAAGCGCGCGCGCGCCTAAGCCAGCCCGAGCCCTCAGAGACCACTTGGGGCCTCGCAGCCGCCGGCAGCTATAACCGTCCGGGCACGGATGCCGGGGAGGGGCGGTGAGCAGCGTACCCGAGATGTTAATTAGGCAGGAAGAGGCGGGTCAGCGCATCATGTCCCGAGGCATGTGCGCGGACGAGGAGGGGGCCAAGGGACGCATTGGAGGAGGAAGAAAAAGAAGAAGAAGAAGTAGAAGGGGTCAAGAACTCTGGGAGATGCCCTGGCCCTGGCCATGAGATCTGCACACGCACCTGGCCCTCACCCTCCTCCTCGACGCCACCGGTTCTCTGCGCGCTGCCGATCCACCACGGCCCTCCCTGCCCCTCCCCGCAGACCCTCCGACCCGCCACGGCGGCCCCCACCTCCGACACCTTGGCGCCTGGGAGCCCCCGTGCGCTCGACTGGGGCTTGGACCGATGGGGACACGCACGGTGCGCGCGGTTTGCTGCATCGGCGCCGCAGGCGCCGATCCGAGAGATCCGCGAAATCCGGCGCCGATCCGAGAAATCCGCGCGGCGCCGATCCGAGGGAGGGGCCCGGCGCCGATCCGAGAAATCCGCGCGGCGCTCCGCAGGCTTCTGCACGGGCGCCTTCTTCGACTGCTTGCGTCAAGCCCCTCCGCACTCCCCTAGGGTGGGGGGGAGCCTTGATCTCCACCTCCTTCACGCGGAGGAGGCGGCGCGCGCCCTCCAGCTTCCGCGCCGCTTGGAGGTGCTCGTCCTCCCCCTCCGACAGCTGCCGGATGGCCTCCTCGGCGCGGGCCCGCTCGTAGTCCACCTCGCCGTGCATCTCCTGGAGCTCTGCGGTGAGCACGGCAACCTCGCGGGGAGGCCCGAAAACCATGCGGCTGGCGGACGGACAGGAACAGGTCCGGCGAGCGAGGCCGAACGGGAGGCGTCGAGAAAGCAGAGCGTCGCAGACGCCCCAAGTGAGCCCCAGAACGGCCCAAGAAACCGCCAAGATGGCTCCAATACGGCCCAAGAAGGGCCCAAGATGGCCCAGGAGGCCCTCGGAAAGGCTCAAGAGGGCCCCAGGATGGGCCCAAGAGGCGCCTGAGAGGGCGCCACGACGGCGGAAGAAATGCCGAAGACGGCTCAAGAAGCCCCCAGTTGGCCTCCAGAGGCCCCCAAGAGGCCCGAAGAGGCCCCGAGGCGCTTCCAACTGGCCCCGAGGAGGCCCTCAGTTGCCCCCTAAAGGCCTCCAAGAGTTTTGACACATGCATCCAAGACGCCTTCTGGAGGCCTCCAAGCTGCCTCCAAGACTCCCCCCGAGAAGCCCAAAACCGGCCCCAATGCTTCCACAGCGCTTACGTCTGAACACAAGCGCTGCAACACAAAAAGTTACCCCACGATTTCACATATTCTCCCGTCTTCGGTGTCCTTCGCGCCCATGATCTCACAAGGGCCCGCAGAGGACTGCGCGAAGGCCCCCCCCCCCAAAAAAAAACCATGGTTCCCAGCAGAAAAAGGCGATGCACAAGGCTTCCCACAAAGATTTGTGACGCTGACAGCTCTAGCACAACGCTTTTCAGAGAGTGCGCCAAATCGGCGAGGCGCCAACCCAAACAGGGCCAACACCTGGCCCAAAAGAGGATTTCCAACGACCGCCGAACATCTCCAACAACCGCCGAAAATCTCATCCTCGTCATGTTCCTCCTTTTCCCCCTCCCCGTCTTCCCGCTTCCTCCTACTCCTCCTCGCCCTCAGCATCCTGCTACTCCTGCCCCTCCCCCCCCCACCCCCCTCCACCTCATCATGATCCTCCTCCTCCTCCTCCTCCTCCTCCTCCTCCTCCTCCTCCTCCTCCTTTTCCTCCTCCTCCTCCTCCTCCTCCTTTTCCTCCTCCTCCTCCTCCTGTTCCTCCTGCTCCTCCTGCTCCTCCTGCTCCTCCTCCTCCTCCTCCTCCTCCTCCTCCTCCTCCTCCCTCCTCCTCCTCCTCCTCCTCCTCCTCCTCATCCTCCTCTCATCCTCATCCTCAATCCTCATCCTGCTCCTCCTCCTCCTCCTCCTCCTCCTCCTCCCTCCTCTCCTCTCCTCCTCCTCCTCCTCCTCCTCCTCCTCCTCCTCCTCCTCCTCCTCCTCCTCCTCCTCCTCCTCCTCTTCCTCTTCCTCCTTCTTTTCCTCCTCCTCCTCCTCCTCGTCCTCCTCCTCCTCCTCCGCATCATCATTCTACTCCGTTGTCTCCATTCCCAATCCTCATCATCATCCTCACCGCTCGCCGACGTCGCCGGTCATGACCGCCATCTCGCGCTTCTGGCAACAACGGACGCGTCCTGGATCGGCGGCACTGGCCGGAGGCCACTACAATATGGACAAACCTGCCGTCGTGTTTTTAATGATTCGATGGGGTATGAAAATGCCCGCCCCCGAAGGTGCCCGACCCGACAACGTCCAAGAACCGTCCAACAACTTCGAAAGCCCTCCTCGACCCCCGAGGAGGGCCGAGGACACCACTCAGGCGGCCCTGCCCCCCCCCCCCCCCCCCCCCCTCGTCGCCCCCCCCCACACACATATCTCGGCGCCCCAGCTTGCTCGACGCGCGGGCCCCAGGTCCGGACCGCCTCCCCTATAGGCTTAGAGCCAGCTTCTCGCCACGCGCCCCGCGTCGACGCAGGACGAGCAGCCGGCCGTCGGCCTCTGGGGGCCCTCGCCTGGCCCACGGACCCTCCAACAAGCACCGCCGCTCCCCTGCTTTCGGAACGGCGGCTCTTCAGCGGCGGCGACGAAGGCGAACAGCCCAAGGGCGGGCATGACACGTGTTCGCCCGGGGGCCTCGCCGAAGACATGCATCCTCAGCGCCCCTGGGGCTCTTCGCCTCTATCCCAGACGAGCGACGTCCTGACTTGTTCAAGTCGCGGTCCCCTGCAGTCGCGACCCTTTCCCCGAGACGGGTTTCTCATCCTGAGTCGTTTTCTGCTGGTCCCGGGGCCCGGCGAGGGCCCCCGGAGGCCGAACATGGCCAAAGACCTTCCGCCGTGATTTCCTCACGACGATCATGTCTGGGATCGCCTCCGAGATCTCTGGGCTCGTCGCAGGCCGAGGCTGCGCAGGGTCGCCGCGGCCCCGCTCCTGGCTCGGGGATCTCCTGACCCGGTCAATCAAGACCCGGGTCAATCAGGCCTTGCAGAATCCTGCAGAATGCTGTAAGATCCTGCACCCAAACCCGGGTCGATGCGAAGGATCCTGCAGGATCCTGCAGGACCCTGCGCCCAAGCCCGGGTCCATGCGACCCTGGCCCTGCAGGATCCTGCACGGTCGGGCGCTCTGGCCGACCCCCGTTTGCAGTGACCCCCGTCGCAACCAAGACATCCGCCGGTATGACTTTTCCAATCCGCGGCCCCATGGAGGTCCCGACCCCTTCCCCCGGGGTGGTTGTTCATTTCCCCGACCCGTTTTCGATGGCGCCTGGGCCCGAGAACGGGCCCTGGAAGCCGACAGCGAGGAACTTCGCCTGGATTGAAAAAGTCGCACCCTCGGATCTCTGGGTTATAACGTTTGAGAACATTACCCTGTGTCGTATCCAACCCTTTCTATACATGTGGCGATTCTACTCAGGACCGCTCAATGCTGACCGGCATCCTGAAGCACCCGCAGTGCGCAAGAAGAGCACCCGGCAGTGATTTCGGAAGAGCGCAGCCAGAAGAGGAACGGCAAATGTACCACATGGAAACGCAGGAGCGTTGAAAGAATCGGCTACACGCAAGAGTGACCCTGGGTAAGGGTGACCTTTGGTGCGCGGGCTTTGGGGGGGGCGCGGGGGGACCAAACTCAGGCGCGCGAGGCGCCACTATCGCATCGCAAGCGGTGATCGGGGGGCCCCACTGGGCCCGCACCAAAGGTCACTCCGGCGAAAGGTCACTCTTACGTCTAGTCGAAAGAAACGCATCCTGAAGCACCAGCAGTGCGCAAGAAGAGCACCCGGCAGTGATTTCAGAAGAGCGCAGCAAGAAAAGGAACGACAAATATACCACATGGAAAGACAGTCGGGAGCGGCCAAGGGGGGGTGTCCAAGAGGGGGGGGGTGCAAATCATGACCGGCGGCATGTGCGCGGCCCAGCGGGGGGGCCAGGGACGTAATGAAACAAGAAGAGGCGCCATGAAATCTGGGGAAATATCATGGCCCCCGCCATGATTCCCCCCCCCTCCCCTAGTCATCACCCCCCTCTTTTCCGCCCCCGAAATCAGATCCTCGGACCTCTGGGAACGCCGCGCTCCCGGCGGGCGGCCCCGGGCCTCCGGCGGCGCCGCGCACGCCGCGCCGGGCGGCGCCGCCTCGCCGCCCGGGCCTTAGGGAGGGGCGGCCGGGGCGCCGCTCGCGGGCGGGCTGCGCAGCGCTCGCGGCCCTGGGGCCGTCTGCTCCGAGATGTTTTTTTGTTTCCCACGCGTCATAACCCCGTGGTCCGAGGATATGTTTTTTTTGTTTTCAAAAATGTTCCTCGCTTTCGGCTTCCAGGGCCCATTTCGGGCCCAGGCGCCACCAAAAGCAGATCCGGGAAGAACCACCCACCCCTGGGGAAGGGGTAGCGACCTCTGGGGCCGCGGATTGAAAAAAACATATCGTCGGATGTCTGGGAACACTGCCGATGCATTCGCCTCTGTGGTCAGCGCGGGGTCACCCGAGCCTTGTGCGATGCGAATATGACCATTACAAAAAATATCAGCAACAAGGGGAGAGGAGGAAGGGCAACATGGCCCGAGAGCCGACGCTCCGAAAAATTGAAGCGGCAGGTTGCTTGTGGCTTAGGTCGGGCGTGTCCTCCTACAGGCGGATTGTGGACGGAGCATTATATATGTATATGTATATATACAACTCGAAAGTATAGCTTCATGCGAATACAAACATATACTTATATACATGCATACATACATACATACATACATACATACATACATACATACATACATACATACATACATACATACATACATATATGCATACCTACATACCTACATACATACAAACATACATACATACATACATGCATGCATACATACATACATACATACATACATACATACATACATGCATGCATACATACATGCATACATACATACATACATACACACGTACATACATACATACATACATACATACATACATACATACATACATACATACATACATACATACATACATACATACATACACACACACATACATACATGCATACATGCATACATACATACATGCATGCATGCATGCATACATGTATGCATACATGCATGCATACATACATACATACATACATACATACACATGCACCCATATATACACACACATACATACATTCATCCATACATACGGACATGCACGCATACATGCATGTTGCATGCATATATACATGCATACGTACGTGCGTGCACACATGCATACATGCATGATTGCATGCGTGCATACATATATATATATATACATACATACATACCTACATACATACCTACCTACCTACCTACCTACATGCATGCACACATGCATGCATACATACATACATATATACGTACATACAGACACGCATGCGTACATACATACATGCATATATGCATGCATGCATGCATGCATACCTACCTACCTACCTACCTACCTACCTACCTGCATACATACATACATACATACATACATACATACATACATACATACATACATACATACATACATACATACATACATACATACATATACATGCATGTACACATCACATCCCCATACATAAGGAGCTCCACCGAAGCCCCCAGTGGGACCGTCCGCATGCGCCCCAGAAACCCAATTTGATAGTTTCACCCACCCGATACAGCGCTTCGTGGCCCCACAGGGAGCTCCAC